GGTGTGTGTTATGTTATGTATATATGTTTTTAGTTTTTTAATTTTCTAAATTGCCTTATAATCTAGCTGGATTTATTTATTATTTCACTTTTCCCCTTGATTTTCCTTTTAGTTGCTTTTTTGTTTGATTTGTAAAAAAAAAAAAAAAAAAGAGAGAAATTTAAATTTATATGCTTATGTTATGACTGTCTATTGTTGTTGTTATCCGTTGTTGTCATCACTCTTTGTTAAGAAATCAGGTAAATGAGTCCCCGAGGCTCAATGGGATTAACCTGCCTAAATAAATGTTGAATGAATTTATTTATTTATTTATTTATTTATATATTTATCACAGACAAACCATATGGTTTAACTTTATTATAATAATTATTATATTATTATTATTATTGTCATTATTATTATTATTATTATCATCATCATCATCATCATTATTATTATTATTATCATTATTATTATTATTATTATTATTATTATTAATGCCATTGTTATTATTATTATTATCATCATTATAAAATGAAACACATCATGGTGTTAAATGTTTCCACAGGTTCTGGATTTTCTCGAGCTGTTTTGTGGAAGTAACGTTGCTTTGAGGAGACTTTATACGCTTTGAATATATAAAACTGCATTTTTTAAAAAGTGTTGACAACTGTTGTAAAATTTCTCTCCTTGTTTTACAATTCAGACAAACTCGTAAGAATGAAGAGAATTTTAAACAATAAAAATAACATTAATAAACTCATGTTATGTTCAGTAAAACATAAGAAATCAGAAATGTTTCCACCTCCACTCAAATATCAGCTGTCTGACGTTAAACACACAACTCTATCGTTTTAAAACAGCGTTGAGAAAAACTGAGACGTGTTGTTTTGATTTGTTTTTTGAGAAACATGAATTTTGTTAAATAATTACAAACTGTCTGAATGTGAGTGTTGTTGTCTCTACATTTCACCTGGTTGTGTTTCTTCCCTGTTTGATGAGATATCACAGCTGCTGAGTTTATTGTTCAGGGGTTTTATCAGATCAAGTGCAAAAATAATAATTATTGGTTAATTATTTAATATGAGACTTTTATATTTCATTGTCATAAAAAGCAAATATTATCTTTGTTATTAAACTTCCCTTCTTGAGGCACAACATTTTTGTTTGCAAGTAAAGTGTGGGAAAAAAATTAAAATCACACATGACGCTCCAACACAAAGGGAGGTGAAATAAATAAAATAAAAAAAATAAAAAACGTTTCTTGTTTATGAAATGTTTGTCTTGTTGACTAAAAGCCAAAATAATGATGAAAAAAGCTTTGGCCATATTCAACTTGTACCTTTCAAGTTTTGAAATTCCCGTTCCAGCTTTTTCCTCAGCTCCACTTGCTCCAGCAGCTGCTTCTGCAGATCCTCTAAGACAAAAAAAAAAAAAAAAAACAGAAGGATGGAGGAGGAAAGAAACAAATGATCATCAACCATGCAGGACACTTTTCTATTTTTAACCACAGCAGTTTTCAGGATGTGGAAAAAAAGAGAGTAAATTAAATTAAAGCTGAAGTAATCGGAGCAGATCAGGACAAGCAAAAATAAAAAACAAAACAGAGAATTTTTTATTTATTTATTTATTCATTTTTAAAGCACAACATAAATAAAGTTTTAGATTTGTAATAAAGTGTGCTGTGGTCTGTGGATTGATTAAAGTTTTATTCAGAATAAAGAGGGGTTTTAATAATTTGGCCCCAGGGATTCAAGAATATTTACTGACGAATAAATGTGTAAAATTTACTCTGAATAACAATAATAATAATATTATTAATAATAAGAATAATATTAATAATAATAAAAGCAGGCAGTCTTACCTTTTGCCAGACTTTGGATGTCTCTTCTTGTTGGCACAACTCTGGTTGGCGCGTCCTCGCCTGAGCGCACACAAAAGTTTTTAAATTCATCTAATTAAAAATAAAAATAAATTAAACCATAATTTGTGTTAGAGCTGGTAAAAGCCTAAATGACCTGCCTGTATCTTACCCTCATCCGGCTCTCTCTGGTTCTCCTGCCCGTTTTGTCCATGAACAGATTTGGTGTCGGTCTCCTCCACGGTGGAAGACGGCTCCTCTTTGCTCGCGCTCTCATCTTTAGAGAAAACAAACCAGCGTAATTCCCCCCGTTCACCCAGTTCATCATATTGGAACAAAACATGTAACTGAACCAGTGTCTAACCATTTGTAATGAGCACTGCTGTCAGGTAATTGGTGGGTCTGAACTGGTAGGGACTGTTCCTGTGTTGCGGCTCAGCTCGCTCCGGTGTGTAAACCTTAAAAGGTTGGATTTAAATGAGATGCATTAAAAAATATTTATTCAAAGTATTTTATTTGCGGGGTTTTTTTTTGTGTGTTATAAAATAATCAGAAATGAAAACATGAGGACACAATAAGTTACTCAGAAAGTCAAAACAAGTTGTGCGTAAAGTTCCGGTTAGAAGAGACTCACTTCTGTGAAAGGCGCGGGCACGTGCTGCTCTGATAACTGTTTGCTCTGCGCGTCTCTTTCAAAGGACGGGCCCACATGGACACTCAGTTTCTGGGACTCAGCCGGACCCCCCTCCGTACCTCTGGAGTCTGAGTCCTGCGTCAGGCCGGGAGGAGTCCGAGGACACACTGAAGAGGACAGAGGTCTGGAGTCCTCCTCCTCGGGCGTTTTGTTTGTCCCAACGTCCACGTCCGGCTCCCCGTCGCTGTCCACGCACGGGGACACGGACCGGTAGCTGGAGCTCTCGCTTAAAAAGTCGGGCGACAGGTACCCGGTGCGCCCCCCGCCGTAACCCCCCCTGCTGCCGTACAGCTTGGCTATGCAGTCTGCGTCTTTGATGACGGGTCTGAACGCGGACACGTAGCTGATTTTCCGGGACGGCAGGCTCACCCCCTCCACCAGCCTCCCCTCGTCCCCGGATTTGTCGTCCTCGTTGCGCGCGGACTGCGTGCTGGAGCAGCGCTCGTTCTCCACCAGGCTGTCTTTGGACGTGTTCGTGCTCCGGTCGCTGCTCTCAGAGATGTCCACGTCCGTCTGTCTGGCGGGACACAGCAGCTCCGGCGGTGGGGGCTTGTGCGCAGCCTGCGGGTAGGGAGGCATGGGGAGCGGGCCCGCTGCGGGCCAGAACATGGGGAAGGAGTGGTAGGCGCTGTCCTTGGTACCGGGCCACAGCACCCCCGGCAGGCCCGCTTTGCTCTGCTCGCTCATCAAACCGTCCTCTTTTTTCTGGCACAGGCCGAAGGCCGGGAAGCCATACGGGTGGGGGAACAGCGGCGGGGGGATCTTCTGGAGCATCCCGAAACCTTTGCTGGGCACCGGGATGACCGGGTAGCTGCGCGCGCTGCTCATGGCGCCGCGGGTGTCCTCGCAGCTGAGGATTTTTGCGGGGACCTCGGGTGATTCTCGGGAGCGGATGGGCCCATGCAGCTTCAGAGACGAGCTGGACTCGGAGCCCCCGCCACCCGGAAGGGTCCTCTTGCGGCTGCCCCCGTTGAACATGGCCTTCACGTCCTCCCACGCGTGCAGGACCTCCATGGGGCTGCTCTTATCCGTCAGTTTCAGGTGCCGCCTCCAGGAATTAAAATTAGCCGCGTCCGGCTGCGTGTACTTGGACTCCGGCGTGCGGTGCGAGTGAAAGATGAATTTATTCGGGGAGAAGTACATGTTGCAGTAGGAGCACTTGATGCACTTGGCCCTGGAGCTGTTGTACCTGGCCGGGATGAAGCTGCCCCGGCTCCCCCAGGCGCATTCGTGGGACACGTCGAAGGCGAAATTATCCGGAAGTTTAGGAGGCGAGTGAGCCCCCAGGAAAGACTTGCAGAGTCTCTCCGCCTCGCGTTTGGTGATCATCCCGCAGCGCCTGGAGGAGATCGGCATGGCCCCGGCTCTGCGCAGGATCTCCAGCTGGACGGGGGTGCACTGGACGCAGGTGATCCCCAGCGCCACGCGCCGGTTGTGGATCTCGTTGTAGCTGTAGTTCTTCAGTAAGGTGTTTGATATCTGCGCGAGGCAAAGTCTTTCCTGACCATCTATCACCAGGGACACGATGGGTATTCCGTACAGCACCGTCTCCCCCACCTGGTTGGGCTTCAGGTTGGAGGTCGGGTAGGACAGTTCTTGTTTGGAGTTTGGCGAAGAGCTGGAGTCTCGTCCTGCAGGTATGGAGTCCATTCTTTGGGGACCTGGAAGCTGTGGAAACATTTCATTTAGTTCAGCCTCGGGTAATATTCCTCTAATAAGTCTTTCATGTCTAGGCCTTAAGTTTTAATTTAAATGACTTTTTTTTTTTAATTTATTTCTATTTTTAGAGCTCACGTTATTATAAAACAAAGCAACACGGTTTGGTTTTGGTTTTACGCACAACCTCGCTTTAAGGATTTTTGTCTGAAGGCTTTCTTTTTCTGTTAATGGGACATCTTAAAATCTACCAAAATTTCCAAGAACCGTATTAAAAATCGTGATTAATAATAATAAAAAAAGAAAAATAAACAACTGCATGATGAGACACAGCTCAGAAATCTGTCACCAAAAGTCACCTTAGACGCGCCCGCAGCTCCCCTCTAGTCCCTGACAGCGCAGGTAAAGGTGATGGAACGAAGGCTGCAGAAAGAATCAGGAGTGTGTGTTGGAGGATGTGAGGATGTTCGCTTCAGGAGCAGGTCGCCTCCTCTCTCCCGCTCGCCGTCCTCCCGTCTCTCTCTGCAGCGCGCGGGCGCACGGTTTGTGTTGCGCCACCAGCAGTAGCGGTGTCCACATGGCAGGCAGAGTGTGGTACAGCCCCCTCTACAGCGACAGCAATCAAGTGACGGCAAAAAGAAAAAAAAACTTATGGGAAGGGACTCCCACTCTCACAGGCAGGCAGCCCGCATTAAGTATAGATTCATGACCAGTAAAGAAGTGAGCAGTGCTGGTCCTCTGCAGCCTGAAGGTCTGTGCGTGAAAAGATGAAGACAAACTGAGGATTTTACTCCAAACGATATTTTCCATGTTTGAAGTAATTCAGCTCAACTTTTATTATCTGAAGATCTAACTCGCTGTCTTTGGGAGGACTCATGTTGAAAAAGAACGCAGCCTTGTTGACGTTACGCATGACTGGCGGGGGTGGGGGGTGTGGGGGGATTTGAGCTAAAGCTGTGGACACATTGTTGTGCGCGTGGAGCAGCAGGGTCCGATGATGAATACAGCGCGCAGGCCTTCATCACGTGCTGGGTTCCCACGTTCACACAGGGCCCGCGCGCGTTCTGACAATAAGCAGCTGCTGTGAGGGTCACTGTGATCTGCTTTTATTTATTTTAAAACACCCCCCCCC